CATAGTTATCCAATATATAAAATACATTTTACGACATTATTCATACATAAAAATCTCTTCTCCACCAGTAGCTTTTCCAAAACTCCACCAATTGACGTGTAAATACACAGCTTGTGTCACCAGGGCTCTAGGAGGGAATGAGCACCAGGCGCTCTGCATGGAGCAACGCTCAGAGCCCTTCTTCAGGCAAAGAAGTGACATAATAGGCCAAAGATTCAAAGATCATTCGTCATTCTGAAAGACAAGGTTGCACAACAAAATGCAGATGTGGTCTATTTATTCTACAGAGTCAAAAAGAAAACTGAGATGATTAGAAACATAAGCAGCAAAACACTTTTTTACCTTTCATTTTTTAATTATTTGTGCAGATAAGAAATCCAACATCTTTACAACATAAATGTAACATCAAGGAAAACATTTGTAGTTCATTTTGAAATTTCAGCAGCAAGCTTCATTAAAGGTCCCATGTCATGGCCATTTCTACTGATCATAATTCCATTGTTGAGGTATACTAGAATAGATTTACATTGTGCAATTTTCCAAACTCACATAGGTTTTCTCATACAGCATCTCTGTATAGTATGTGTATTCACTCTCTGTCCTACACGCCTTGTTGGAGCTCCTGCCCCCCCCCCCCCCCTCTCCTCCCTGTGAGCCCAGTGTGCTCTGATTGGTCAGCTAGCCCACTGGCTCGCTGCTGCGAGGAGCTGACAGTGTGAGCTGGCTTACTGGTGTGGTTTCCTGCTTGCTGCGAGACTGCGAGACATCGCGAATTGGCGCGGGAAGGGGGGGGCGGGTGCTGAGGGGGCTGCAGCAGCGAGGCTCCACTAGCACCCGCATCCCCCCCGCACCCCCAAACGCGGCGCACCTACAGTGTGAGCGCGCCACAGTTTCGCCGCACTGCGAGGCTCCACTAGCACCACCCCCCCCCCCCCAGCACGTCACATTTTCGCCGCTAAAAGAGTGTGTGTGTGTGTGTGTGTGAGGAGCTCCACGGATCAATGGGTCCATTGATTTGGGTATGGGCACGTCACCATACCCAGGAAGAGAACAATGGAAAAAGAAAAATCTCCAATGAGGCGTTTTGGGGCAGCATAGACAGGTCTTTTCTGTGTTAGATTTTTACTCGCTACAGGGTGTACTTTGACGGTTTGTGACTTTGCAGACCGTTTACATCAGGGGTGTCAAACTCAATTTAATCTCGGGCCACATCAGCATTATGGTTGCACTCAAAGGGCCAGTTTTATATATATATCGTAGTGATCACTAATTAACTAGGTTACATAATTCACTCATGGAACTACAGGTTGGGGGTATTGTTTCCGCGCGGACACATATGTTGACGGTACCTACTGTGTACCTACTGTGTACCTACTGTGTGTCCTCCCTTTCGCTTTCTCTTCTCTTCCTGGGCTGCGACCCGACAGCATGTCTATTTCTGTCGCTCATTAAAGTACCCATTTGCACCTTCGATGCACCGCCTCCGACTCCTATCTCTCGGCACTACATTGGTGACCCCGACATAAGTCTCGCGAAGTATCCGAGACTGAACCGAACACGGCAGAAAACAAACACTGTTTTTCTCGAAATGCCGGAGATTCTTGGAGACGTCCGTGGCTGCCATGTGCACACAGACTGAGGCTCGGTGCGCCCCACGGAATGGCTGAGGACGTCGCTTGCCATTCCCGCGACCTGCAAGGTATGGAGGAACCCGACTTCTACCTCGTGGAGCTGTTTCTTTGGGACATGCGGCTGCATGTCCGGGCTGCGCTAGCTAACACGGCTAGTGTTGAGCCCCGCGCTTTGGCCGAAGAAGCTAGCCGGTTCTTCCTGGCCGCCCGGCGATTTACCCCTGAGGTGCTGGCCACTACACGCTGCGGCACCTTCCCTAGTGGGGGCACGCCGCCTAGCAGGGGCTCCGGGGCCGACGACGACGACGACAGCGGCTAACGGCCGTCGAGAACGGCTAGCCACGACTGCTAACGGCTAGCAGCTAGCGGCTATCGACATCCGACTGTTTTTTTGTTTTTTTTGTGGTGCCGGAGAGGAGGTTCGATCAAGTCTGGTCGGCCTCGTGTGGATCCTCTCACAATTTCGCCCACCTGTTTTTGATCGTGGACAGGACGACCCTTTTGAGTTTTTTCTGGTGCCTGAGAGGAGGTTCGACCATGTCTGGTCGGCCTCATGTGGACCCTCTCGCTTTTTCACCACCTCGACGGCGGCTTCGGAAGTCGCCCATGCCTTCTTCGGCCCGTGGGTGGCGCGCTTCGGGACCCTGTCTGGCCTCTTCCCTCGCCTCGGCGGTTTCGGACGTCGCCCATGCCTTCTTCGGCCCGTGGGTGCCGCGCTTCGGGACCCCTGCCTGGCCTCACCTCTAACCGCGGCTCACGGTTCGCCTCGACGGCGGCTTCGGACTGCGTGTCCTCCCTTTCGCTTTCTCTTCTCTTCCTGGGCTGCGACCCGACAGCATGTCTATTTCTGTCGCTCATTAAAGTACCCATTTGCACCTTCGATGCACCGCCTCCGACTCCTATCTCTCGGCACTACAATATATAATTTAATATATATAAAATAATGTATTATATTGCATTATTGCCTCTGCATTGGATTATTATCAGATAGGGTAATAACCAGGGCTGCACATAACTGGTGCGCAGGTGCGCATGCGCACCCCCCGCCAAAAAAAGAGCACCGGATCATTGGAAAAAAGGCGCATTTGCGCACCAACATTGAGAGAGAGAGAGAGAGAGAGAGAGAGAGAGAGAGAGAGAGAGAGAGAGAGAGAGAGAGAGAGAGAGAGAGAGAGAGAGAGAGAGAGAGAGAGAGAGAGAGAGAGAGAGAAAGAGAGAGGAGAGAGAGATATTTGTGAGTTGCATAAGAACTGGTAAGATAGCAGGGTTTCCCACATAGACTTTACTTGGGCGGGCCGCCCAGGTATATTAACGGCCACCAAAGTATAATTCGCGAGCCATTTAGGTTGATTTTTTTTATCCGTCCGCAAGCACGACGGCATCTGCGATCGATCCCTTCATAAAGTAAAAAAACCCTCAAAAGGTACGGTTTATTTCATTTTAAGGATGCGCACCAAGCAACATCTCCAGGTGATAAATAACTACGTCTGAAAGCAGAAGTCTAGGGCAAATAATTGCAAGTCTCTTCAGTGAGAATGTCACAAAATGATTTAAAAAGAAAAGCCACATTCTGGAGAAAAAGTCAAAATGTAGATGCATTGTGGGACATGTAGTGTATGGGCAACGTGCTTCTGTAAATCGGCATGTAACCGTATAATAAACATATTATAATCTTTGCAAGCTCTTGTGGGGCCGCATAAAATGAAGTCACGGGCCGGATTTGGCCCCCGGGCCTTGAGTTTGACACCCCTGGTTTACATGCATAAAAACCTTCATAACACACAAGGGGACGGGTAATAACCGGAAAAGCATGACCTTAAACACACAGTCTGCCTCCTCGTGTCCCAACAGCCAGTGTTATCAATAACTTCTTCTTAATTATTTGCCCGGTTAAATAAATGTTAATTCGGCTCAGTAGAATGAATGGAGACAGAAAATAAATCTAGATTTGGCTTTTAGTGCATTTTAGAACTTTAAGGACCTAATGATTATAATAAGGGCTATACAAATAGTTCATACTGGGTAGTTTATTTAGTTTAAAAAACAGATGTCTCTTTCCCTATGTTAGTCAATGGGGAAAAGTCTTTCTGGGCCCAGTGACATCACGGACTGATACGGAAATTGTAGTACCGCCGTTTGGACAGAACGAATATTTTCATCAGAGTCCGGTGCACTTCCTGGGGGCTTGTTGTACCCCCGTTTTTAGAGATTTGGGTATGGAGGAAAAGAGAGAGGGTTTTATTTTCTGATGCTGCGTGAGTTCCCTGACACACCGGGGACACACATATTTATGTATAAAAGACATCAAAAAGTGCATTTTGCATGATAGGTCCCCTTTAATACATTTTATGAAGTTGTGTTTAATTCTGAAGTGGATTCAGCAAATCTAAAAATTACAACACCCTAAGCATAATAAAATAAAACACCTGACAGCAGATTAACATTGTAATTGACCTGACTTGATTATTTTACCCTTTCTGATAATTTTCTTTCTTTTTTTACTTGTACTGATCATTTTCTTTTAAAAGAAAGCTTGTAATCACCTGAATTTGTATTATTTCCATTAAAGTGTGAAAGATTATTTACTTAGGCAGCCTTATTTATCTACCTGCTTGTTTTTAGGCAGTGTAGCAAAAGTTTGTTTCAACTATTTCCACAAGATGGTGCTAAACGCAAAGAAACTGACTTAATTAAGCTGAGCTCAATATATATTCACACTTAAAAATGTGACCTTATCCTGAGTTTTTAAATTACATACAAGATGTTTTTGTTTTTTTAAGAATTTCATGACATGCTACACCTTAATTACAAACGCTACGTCTATTATGACTTTTAAATATGTTTGTGACATACTATACAATTACTTTTTTCACACTATACTTTTGAGAGCATTGAGCAAAGAGATCACGATTGTTCCATGGTTTGTATTCTTGGGTATGTGCAATACATCTCGAATGTTGCCTCATTTCATTTTAAATAATCAATGCTAAGTCTGTCATAAGAAGTTAAATGTAAAAGCATTAGAGAAAATGAAAGGGGCAACACCGGCTTTTTCTCATGGTAACAAACAATTAGGCTGCACATCTCTTTCATCAGATCACGTTACAAACTTTACACCAAATTAATTTTGTTGAAAAAAATCCGGTTTATGCCTATTTTTGTAAACATTCATGATGAAAGGACTTCTCTGGATGCTACAGTTGCAACAAACATAAAAGACATGCCTGACGCTTTGAGTCATGACAGTAATGGCTTATCTCCACGAAGAGCATTTGCTCGACCAATGAATGCGCTACATCGTCTGTTTGTAACCAATGAGAGTGCTCGGTGAGCGGCTGCTGTGTTGTAAAGGGCGTGGTTAAGAACAGAGTCTCAAGGGTTCTTCTGCTGACCGACTTTCCATTCCATTGATCATTTGGCCACACGCTGGAGGAGAGCTGAAAGAAAGGTGAGTAAGGATGAATGTAGCCTCTTGTCTCACTAACTTTTAATATAGTTTGTATATAACGTAAATGGGACTATTTAACAGTTTATTATATAGCAATGTTCAAACTTTTCCCGCGACATTCAAACAAAGTATTGCTGTGTTAGTCAGCAACATGACATGAGGCTGTTGGTGAAGTTACTAACGTTAGCTATGGAACTAATGCTAATACTCTTTTATTCTCTAGAGTGAATACTGCTTTGTAATCACCATGAAGTTGTTTTCAAAACGCCACCGTTGTGTTAACATGTTTGTACTGTTAGCCTAACCAGCTAGGTGAGTACAGCAAATGTTGTGCAGTGCGGTGATGCGTAGAAAACCAGAACTAGTGCGTCACAGCCCGCCAGACATTATAATAGCTGGACCGTTAAGGTTGAAAACAAAAACAACAACAGATAAGACTAAATGCGACGAAATTGCCTTTTTATCTGTTTCAGTGTTTACTTCATCCCTTCATAATTTTAAACCACAATAATCTCTAAAACAGCAATCGTTCCCTTGGGCACATGGAGTCTTGCTAACTAATGAACGGGACTTCCTGAAAGTTCCCAAGGCAACATAACAACAGTATTTTTATTTTTTTTGGAATGCATCTTTTTTTTTATCAATGTCTGGGATAACGTTAGTTTAGGCAAATAACTAAATGGTTGTAATTGCAGTTTCCCCTGAGTTGTTGTTCCTTCAGACCTAATAATACTAGTGCTACTTTTCATCAGAAACATTTAAGGCTTTTTTTTCCAAAAAGTTCCAGCTGGGGTGAAGGTTAAATGTCCTTAAAACCAGAAGGACTAACCTCATTTACCAACTGATATCTTACTTACTAGAAATTATCATAATTGTATATGTGCCTTGTTTACTGCTGCCAATCTTAATAAAGTTATCTCGTTACAGGGGCTGTAGGAAGGTAATGAAACGCATGTGAAACATGAGGAGAGAAATTGCAGCTGTGGTATTCTTCCTGAAGAGGCTTGTAATAAAGGGTGGGAAGTTGGAAACACACAAGATCGATCTGTTTGTTGAGAGGCTGGCTGTTGCACTGCAGGAGAAGTTCAAGGGGCACTGGTACCCTGGAAACCCCAGCAAAGGACAGGCATACAGGTGCTGCTCTCTGTCCTCTGCAGTTTTTACAAATAACTTTTGCTTTCCAAGACATCTTTCTGTTTCACAAATAGTGTACTAAAATCTGTTGCCTGTGATCTGCAGGTGCATCAGAGTGAACCGGGTCCAGCGGCAGGATCCAGAGCTCCTTCGGGCCTGCCGAGAAAGCGGGGTTCAGTACAGTGACCTGGCACTGTCCCGGGAACTCACATTGTGGGTAGACCCTGGAGAGGTCTGTTGCAGGTAAGACTTTGAGTTAAATTGCCATAAAGATCTGAGACAGAATTGGAAGAAGTTTGAAGTTCATAAAAAATTACTAATGGATTTAGCTTTAAAAAAATCATTTTAAAGGCAACCAGTATACTTTTGTCAGGATAATTGTAAATATTTGACTGGCATCTGTAGCCACTGATGCCAATTAATGCAGAACATGAACAGAATCACACTCTTCTAATTGAAATGTATTTTGTGTTTCACCCCTGTACTTTTTCTTGTTTTTGAGCGTATTACAAAAAAGTCAAATATGTCAAAATCCTTTTTTAAATTTCAACATGAAGTATTTTTCTTCCAACCAAACCTTTTAAAGAATGGTCTACTTTAAACAGATATTCTATGTATGTTAAACTTTCCTACACCTTTTTTATGACTTTTCCCATTATTAGGCACGGAGAGACAAACCCTTGGTTCTCATTGGCCACTTTCTCTAATGATGAGGACGACAAAGATGTTGCAAAGGTGACTCAGGCTTTGGAGAGGGTGACATCAGACTACCACTCTGGATCATCCTCTGATGAGGAGGCAACACGCACTTCCCCCCACACTGTGCACAACAGCCGCTCTGATTACAAGGTAAGGCATAATGCATTGTAAAACCCCCATGACTAAAAACCCCATGCATGTTTGGAGAAGAATGGGAGGCTGCGCCAGCTCTGTGTTCCAATAGTCCAAAATAAATGTTACGGTTTTTTCCTTAACACTTTCTTGAAACATCATAGGGTTAGTAAAAGATGTGAAGGAGAATTAATCAGGATTTAGGAAAAGACTACTGTGGTGCTACAGTAGGAGAATTCGACTGCACTTAAGCTAGGCTAGGATCATTCGCCTCCTGTATAATCAACATTAATCCCAATTAGTATGAAACTCTTTGATTAAATAATACTTCATGCAAAATGTGTGTAACTTGTAAAGCCGACATATCTATTATTGTGCATATCACATTTCAAACATAAATGAATAAGAACAATCTGTAAACTATTTCTGTAAACGCCTGACTGATTAAATGTTTAGGACGCAAGGGATTGTGGGATAGCATTATCTCATAAAGGATGGTCCTAAGCTGAAGGAGATGACAAGGGGGAGCATGATGTTTTTTTCCCCTAAAATCTAGAGAATTTGAACACCCCTTATGGCTTCACGTTCATTTCACTCAGTTAGGAACCTTCCTACGCAGAAAAGAGGATTCAACTGCAACCCAGGACTCTACAGGGCGCAGACTCCCATTGACTCTGTCACAACAGCCACACATCATTGATCCATGTCATTCATAACATGACTTTACATTGGCTTGAAACTACCAGGTTTTAGTTGACCACATTAACCATGTTTTGTTGTGTTCAAATTTAATTAATTTTATAATTGATGTTTTGTAAATTGTTGTTCCCCCAATAATTGTGAGTCAAATGCTTCCTGGGATCAAAGGCTACGATTGTTTGTGTTGGTTTTGATGGAACCTTTTATTTGTTTTATTCAAGGCAATAAATCCTACTGCTCCCTCGTGGCATCCTAAGAAGATGGTGCCAGGGAACGCTTACATCCTTCCACAGCCTCACTACGGCTTCAGGCCCCATAGCAGAGGGCCCCACACTCTAATGCCTAATATGTGGGTCCCCCCTAGCTACACGTATGGAAGAAGCACCAGGTACTGGGACGTCCTCCAAAATTCGGCACATGGTTACAATTAGGAATCATGGTGCTTTTGGTTCACACAGACATTAAAGCGGAAGACGACTTTAAAATGACTGAAAAATGTTTTTTTAACATGAATATTTATAGATATATATTGATTGTTTTTGATAAAAAAATATTTGTGCACTTTAGACAGTTTGTTATACTTTAAATTAATCACCTGTATAAATTAGATATTGAATTGGAATACTACACAATTTGAAGTACTGTATTTTTACAATGGGAAACGTTCATGTATAGCACCTACTTTGTCCTTTTTGTGATTATGTTTTATTTATTAATAGTGCAGATTTGTCAGATGTATAGACTTATATTTATGGAGTTTTATTAAACACAATTTTGGAGTATCATGCTTTGTGCATTGTGTTGGTGTTAACAAAAGGATTATACAATCGTGTGATTAAATTCCTACATTCAAGGGTATTTTTTCCCCTCTATTTGTCTATTGGTATGTAAAAAAAAAAAAATTGAATGAAAACAGAATCAAACTGGGGACCTAATGGTTAAATGAGATGTTATGCTCAACAGATCACTTTTCATATACATTTAGTATTCATCTTTAGCTAAATGGGTTTGTATACGCATTATCTTTCAAGCATAATCATAAAGTAGTTTGAGCAACACAAATGCAATTCTATTCACTTTATTGGGAGCCTTTGTTTTTTTACATGTCTCATAGCTACAGCATAGTTTTGGCAATGAACATCTTGAAGCTCAGGCACCTTTTAATAATGCTAAATATTATATATATATATATATATATACATCATAATAGTGCAATAAACAAAATTGTTAAGTTAGTTGAGGTAAATAAAAAAAAAAGCATGTACATCATAGATGATAAAACATTGTCAAATAATATACTGTATACTAGAATCTACTGTTTGGTGGAAGTAATTGTATCTTGTTCAATGTAACTATTTAGATATTTACAGTTTCCCAGTCGTCTTTGCAATAAAAGTGCTTAATTATCCACATCTTTTATTTGAACAAACCAGAAGTAAGTTAACACGAGGTCACTGAGTTGTCACTGTTTAGATATTTATCCACCACAAACCACTGGGCCCACAGTTTTTGGAATGTAACATGTTATATAGGTCTGCCATTATTATTTTTTAGGCAAATATATGGATTAAAAATTTGAATATAAAAGGTTAACTGAAACAGAATCTGAACTTGTATATTTACAATTTCACCATTTTGAAATATAGAAATATTCTTGAATAGTACAAACTTTAGACTGGGAAAAAGGAGAGGACTTTGACTCCATCAAAGTTGTACAAATTGTTATCTTCCACAATTGCCCCTACAGATGGGGAACATGTGGAGTGTCCTTGGACAAGATTCTAACCCTAAATGGCATCTATAGGACATGTAATATTATCAGTGGTGTTAAGTAACTCATTACATTTACAAGTACTGTACTTAAGTATAATTTTGAGGTACTTGTACTGCACTTGCATATTTCCATGTTATGCTATTTTGTTCTTCTTCTTCTCCACTACAATTATGTAGAACCTTTAGTTATTCTGCAGATATATATTAATGATAAACAATAGAATCAACACTTACAAAATACTTTAGATACAACTGGATTCAATTCACATTCTACCCAGCAGAAAATAAAGTAATTGAAATTAGTTCCACCTTTACCAGCTTGATAAACACATCAAAACATCAATAATTATAACCAAAACATATAATATATATGATTCTGAAATGGGCCCATCTGCATAACGATTACTTTTAATTTTGGTACTTTTAAGTATATTTTTATGTCAATACTTGTGTACTTTTAGTTAAGGGAGATATCTAACAGAGTATTCCTACACTTTGGTATTTTCTACTTTTACTTAAGTACACAATCTCTTGTTGTTCCACATGTGGTTGTGGTAATAATACGTGACCTAAGATTTTCATCGTCATAACTACACTGCAGCTAAGCACGTGACGTATGACAAATAAAAGCCTTGAAACCTTGAAAGCCTTGAAACCTAAAACAGGACAACACGGCTGTTTTTTCATACTGCTTCCGCTTCAGACCGGCAGAGGGCGACACCGGATCTCGTTTGGAAATTCCGCTTGTCACGTGACAGCTTGCGGCGCGCTCCACTTTGCACCTGCAGAGAGGAGGAGGAGAAGGAGGAGCGGAGTTTGGATGCTCGGTCGAGCTGATCTGCCGCTTTTCACTCGAACTCAACACAAGTTCTTCGACCGAGTTTCACTGAGGAAGTCGTGGAATAGCTGGACCAGGAATGGAGCTTACGATATGCCGCTTTTGCTGTGTACTGCTGAGCCTCTTTGCAGGTAAGTTTTCTGCCACCAACTGCCGGGGAGACACTTTGTGATTCTCATGGATTTTTTTACTAAAACGGCGGCGAGCACAGTCTCTGGTCAGCCGTGTCACGTTACAACACCGCTGGCCTTATCACGGAACATGCCTGGTTCAAGAAGTAAAACATGCTGAAAACTTTATGTTGTGTTATATTACCTTATGTTATGGTTAAAATTCAACTGGCTCAGTAGTAGTACCAAACCACATTTTAATACACTTGAATTTACTCCGAGTAACTCCGACCACAGGTCAGTTTAGTTAGCTCGCACACCAGAACAAGCGTCCGGACAAACCACATTCAGTTAAACTAGTTGCCAACATTGTATCCAAACTTTATTACTAAGCTTTTACCGATAATGTACGTTTTCTTACTTTATTTCATGCATTTTATCTCAATAACCCCATGCGTTACAGTGGTTTATTTAACATGTTTAACAGATAATAAGTGGTTGTCTTGAGGTTAATTTTCTTGTCTAAGGGAATGTTTAAATATATGGCAATATGTTTGAGCCTCGAACAGAAATTAGATGGTAGCTATTATTTCCGTTTGATATCTGGTGGTGGTGGTTAAAACAATATCTTAATCCGCTCTCAAACCTGTGGCTGCAGGACTTCAAAGGGCGGCATTTTTGTCTGCCATCTGCCATCAGTGCTGAACCCCCCCACCCCCCTTCCACAGTCCCAAATCCCAAATCCCACACCATCGCATGTAACATAACCACATGTTGCTCCTGTTGACATCTCTGCTTAAATTGGTGTCTTTACCTTTTTAATCCTTCTAATATGAAAGTTCGGTCACCCTCAACGAGGGTTTTGCTGTTTGTTGACACCGTAGGTGGGTAGATAACAGTGGAGGTTGTGAAACCTTTGAACAGAATAGTTATTTTTAACCTTAACTAACTTATAGTTAATTATTCAAAGGATATAATATATTCTTTATTGGACTGGAAACCACATGGGCAGAGACAAGGGCTTTATTTTAACTCAAGTGTGGCTACCACTAACTTACCTTTTGGCATGTTAGTCATTCAAAGCAATATAATACAGTTGAATACAAATTCAAGTTTTTATCCAAAAATGTCAAACTTTGTTGTTTGACCTGTTTTTGTCTCATCAGGGTGATACATGCAGAAACATTGCTAATGTGATAAACTATTTAATAACAATCTTAGTTTATTCATCTTAAAAGTATTAATTTACCTCTCTTCAGTTTTGTTATTTGTAGCAATTTGATTCGTATGGGTGTGGCCTCCCTGGAATTTACCCTGAAACTAGCTGATCACTCCCACATTACTCCAAACAATAATGTGAAACTTTTTCTACAGACTCCTCTGTTGGCTTGTGCAATGCAGTGGTTATTGAAAAGTTTTTAGATTAGATAGACAGAGCCATGGTCAGGGCAATGACATTCCATTCTGCTTATTAGTGAGAAACCGTATGTGAGGAAGGTGTGCTTTGTTTAGTTTCATCCAGGACAACTCTCTTTGTAAAAGCAGGGGCATTGGGTGTAATATAAGGTTGTATACAGCATGTTGTTAAGCCTTCCTTTGTCTCATGACTACCATTGTTTTGTACACTAGTTTTGGCTCATTACCATCTTAATGGAATCATGGCCTCGTCATTTGGGCGCTGTTCTACTTCAGCGAACAAAAACAGTATCTGCCAGACTCGTAGCATTCTTTTATCATGGCTTAGTAATACACAATAATAGCCCAACCCCTCTTAAATGGCAAAATAACAAATGGGGTCGTTATGCTCCGCTTTCCTTGCTCTATTTGTCTGTGAGCCATCACATGGCATATATAATGTTGACAAAATGAAGAAAAGGAATGTTGTGTAAAAAGAAGATCTTAAATGCTTTAACTTGTAGTCATTGATGAGTATTTAGCTAGTCATCATATTACAAGTCAAGCTTCTAAACAATTTGAGGCTAGGAAAAGAAAAGAGTAAAGAACATGTGTACACAGTGTAGTTGTGAAAATGCTTATTTTATGGTTCCCCCCTCTTCTTTGTGGAGATGTTTTTTTATATGACAATGTTATCAGAGATCAAGTTGCTGTTGGGTTGGCATGGACTCGTGACAATGCAACAGATGCTGTTACAAACACTGAACAGTGCTACATGCAAGGGCTGACGCATAGTTCTGCTAACAACATTTTCAAGTTATTTGAAAGGTTTATAAATTTATTTCATCATTTTATTTGAATAAAGAAAATGTATTACCACAGTTTATAGAAAAAGGCAAGCTGCCTACTGCTTAAGCAAACCTGCCCCCAGCTGTTCTGCTTTTTAAATCTGTCATCGTAGAGCTTATCCAAGAAACATTATGTGTTTGTCAATCATTAAACACCATGGCTAGACCTTCCCGTCATATCTGTCCACTTCTTCCTTTTATCAACACACACTTTTTTTATTTAGTCTGTATATTTCTCATTTCTGATCCTGAACAATAATTTCCCCTGATTAAAGTTCTTCCGGACCCTTCCTGTGTTCTCCTCCACTCCTTGTTGTTTTGGTCAAAAGTCAAGCAAACAGAAACCTAGTGAACATGTGATCAGGCGCAGAAAGCAGTTACCTGATAAGCCTACAACCAAAGGCCCTGGCCAGGATCTGGTTGCTTGGAAACCTTTTGAAAACAGACACGCAGATCCAGGGAGTGTACTTGTGTGTGTGCGTGCTCCAGTTGCTGTACAACACTACCCCTCCCCCTTGCTTTTATGAATGATAGTATCCTCATTTAGAGCAGGACATATCTGCTGTTGAAGTATTGAATATCTTGATACAATAATGCCTTGATCAGTCACTCTTCTTTGCAGAACTCTTATAAGCTGTGTGTTGATTGCTTAGGTGTTGTGAAGGAATAGTAACAACCATAAAGATGTGTGGAGGCATGTTCACCACAGTCTGAGCCATTGTCATTGGCCCCACGCAGACAGTCATGACTTGAGGTCATATTCACTTGTCATGATGACCCAGCAGTCCACTACTTGCCTCCTGTTGGCTGAAACATGTTGCAGTCACAGCTTCACCTCCAAGCATTCACCCTCTCTGCCCGGAGCCACCTGTCCTTGGAAATTAAGCAGGAACATGTAGAATCAAATTACACTCCAGGGACACGGCTTTGTCCTCCACAATCTGATGATGATTGGGACAACCACGTATGAATATTCACAGCCCGAGACGCTAATATTTTAGCGTACCCGTGCTGCACAAACCCTGTGCCAACTCCTGTTCACTTATATGAGAGTGTGAAACGCTGATCCCGTCTTTACCTCGCCACATTACTCTGCCTCTTCCCACCCCCACCTTCCATTTTATATCCGAATTACCGAATGAACAAATTGCTGCCTGCTAGAGATTACTG